TAAAATCAACCCCCAGGCCAAACCGCTGGACCTAGAAACCGGAAATTCGGGGAGAGCGCTCCTACTGTGACGTAGATGCTCACGAAGAAGGGGTTTTTTTAGAAATTCGAACCTTAAGGGGGTCAAAAGGGGTAAAATGTGCTCCCCCCATTCATTCTTATGTAGCTGCCAGGCTGCTGCCTCCTTGCACCCCCCACTCTCTGATTGGTCAGCTACAGAGCTCCGTGTTCTGAGGTAAAAAAAAAACCCAGTTACAGGGGACTACAGAAAGCTAATGACAGTTGAGGAAATCAGGAGTGGCCAACTGCCTGTGAGGTGAAGCAAAGCTGCTGGCCAAGCCTCCCTATGGCTTCACACGTGCTCCCCCCTCCTATACCTGACAGGCAGTTGTCTGTCAGGTGCAGCAGCAGTTGCAGGGTGCTTAAAGCCATGAGGGAGCCTGCCCCAGCAGTAACGCCTTAGTGATCCTGCCAGCCCCGCCTCCACGGTGGCGTCTCATACTCCTCCCCCCTCCTACACTGGACAGGCAGCTGCCTGGCAGGTGTAGGAGAGGAGGTGGGGTGCTTACAGCCGCCGGGGAGGTTTGCTCAGCAAGATTGCCTTAGCCCTGCTGCTGGCCCTGGTGTAGTAGCAGGGCCAGGGTACTTTAATCCATCAGGGACGCCGCCCCAGCAGGATCACCTTAGTGATGGTGCTGGTCCAGCCTCTCTCATGGCTTCCAACACACTCCACCCCACCTCCTACACCTAACAGGCGGTTGTCTGTCAAGTGTAGCAGTGGTTGCAGGGTGCTTAAAGCCATGAGCGAGCCTGCCCCAGCAGTCTTCAGAGAGGTCCTTCAGTAGAGAAAAAAAAAGTATGTATGTCTCGCTTCATTTTTTACACTACCATCTTCTCCATTAGTATTCCTACAACAAATGTTACATTTCAAACTTTACATCATCAGTATTATAACTGGATTTATGGATGTTAAATACCATAGCGAAGCACGGGTATCAGGCTAGTTGTTAATATTCTGTTTGTCTTCCACAGCGTCTGTTTTCTGTGTCAGCATTGATCCCAAGACCAACACGTTGGCAGTGACAGGCGGAGAAGATGACAAGGCCTACGTGTGGCACCTCAGTGATGGCGAGCTCCTCTTTGAATGCTCAGGTGAGCCACCCCTGTTCTCCCACTTAATACTGGCTTGACAACATTCATTGCCATATTTGGCTTATATCAGTAGCAAAAAGTAGATTTAGCCAGCTACTTCTCTGTATATCAGGAATGAAGTGATTTCTCTTTATTTCCTTCATTAATAGCTCACCTTTCTCCACAGTGGAGACCCAAAGCAGCTTACATTGTTCTCCTCTCCTCCACTTTATCTGCCCAACAACCCTGTGAGGTAGTTTATCTGAGTGGGTGTGACTGGCTCAGGGCCACCCGGTAAGCGTCTGTGGCAGAATGGCAATTTGAACCTGGGTCTCCCAAATCCTACTCTAATACTCTGGAGTAGCAAAAGAAGAAGAAGAGATTGGGTTTATACCCCGCCCTTCACTACACAAAGGAGTCTCAGAGCGGCTTACAAACTCCTTTCTCTTCCCCTCCCCACAACAGACACCCTGTGAGGTAGGTGGGGCTGAGAGAGCTCTTGACAGAAACTGCTCTTTTCCAAGAACAGCTCTTATCAGAACTGCGCCTTGCCCAAGGTCATCCAGCCAGGTGCAAGCGGAGGAGTGGGGAATCAAACCCGGTTCTCCCAGATTAGAGTCCGCGCACTTAACCACTACACCAAACTGGTAGTGGTACGTTGTGTGTCTGAAATTTGAATGGGAGGAAGTAACAGTGGATGCTGTTTCCCATTTGAGATGACAGTATGTCCTCTTGCTATTTTTTGGCACTCAAAGACTGTGAGCGCTTTCACACACGCTAAATTATGCACTTTCAATCCACTTCAGCAACTGTTTGCAAGTGGATTTTACCACTGCACACAGTAAAGTCCAGTGGCAAAGTGGATTGAAAGTGTGTTATTTAGTGTGTGTATGTGAAAGCGCACTCTCAAAATGACTGCCATGTGTGCATGATTCCACTGACCAAGAATGTAAGTCAAAGTGACCTTTTGTATCATAAAAAAAAGTTGACACGGCTGGTGGTGTTGCGACAGGAGGCTGATGCAGATAACGTCATTAGCATTTTTGTGACATTTTAGGTAAAGGTAAAGGTTTCCCTTGCTCGAAAAACAGTCGAATCTGACTCTAGGGTTGCGGTGCTCATCTCCATTTCCAAGCCGAAGAGCCAGTGCTGTCCAAAGACTTTTTAGAGGGTTCCAAATATTTTACATACATTCTCAGTTATCCTTATGGTAGTGCTGGTGGATTTGGGTGGGGGAAGGGGACTAGAGAATGAGGCTGTGAGAACACGGCCTGATGCCACCTCTCGAATTCATGGCACAGGGCAAGTTTGAACTGGCATTTCTTGGAACACTGCACAGCTCACATCTCTTAGCCACTGTTCTACACTGTTGGTGAAATATAGGAGGAGCTGTTGACATGTGGTTCAGATGAGAAGGGAGTAGCCAGGAGTATCGGGCGAGTTACAAAAGTTTTGAGTTATTGCCCTGATCTGCTGAATTGTGTGAATCTCTGTTGCCTTTTGGCTACACTTACTTATGTTAAAATAGCCAGTACACACAAACCTTGATCTCTTTTTCTTAATTATTCCTAGGTCACAAAGACTCCGTCACTTGTGCGGGTTTCAGCCATGACTCCACCTTCGTGGCCACAGGTGACATGAGTGGGCTGATCAAAGTATGGCGGGTGGATACCAAAGAGGAGATCTGGTCTTTTGAAGTGGGTGACTTGGAGGTGAGGAACGGGGTTTGCAGATTCCAGGGTGCCCGTTTCAGTGTGAGAAGGTAGTGCTGGTGCCCCAGTGAGCAACCAGAGTAGCCTTGGTCAGCTTCACTGAGAACCAGCCAGAAGACCAAAACTGGGCAAAAACTGGGAAAATGCTGCCTGAATCAGAAAGATAATTAACAGAACTTCCTTAGATTCAGGTGGGGTAGCCATTTTGCCTGAAGAAATAGACCAATGTTTGAGTCCAGGGGCACCTTTAAGACCAACAAAGTTTAATTCTGGGTAGAAGCTTTCGTGTGCAGGCGCACTTCTTATCTATAGAAGCGAGCATGCACATGGAAGCTTATACCCAGAATTAAACCTGGTTGGCTTTAAAAGTGCCCTTGGACTCAAATGTGTTTTTGGGGGGATCATAAGCTTTTGGTCACTCTGGTTTTGGCGGCTTTGAGGAAGTTGCAGGCAGCCTGCGAGGGGCCCAAACAGCACTAGATCTCCCTCGCTGCACTTTCATTTAAGCAGATTTTGAGTCCCGTGGGGGGCACCTTTAAGACCAACAAAAGTTTATTCAAGGTATGAGCTTTCGTATACAAGGCACACTTCCTCAGATGCTCATTTGAGAACTTTTCTCTTAAACCCAGTCTTCTTGGGAGCATGCTGTAGCAGCTTCTCCCCTCTTGGGGGCACTCCCAGTCAATGGCTGGCTCTGCTTTGTCAGTGGCGTGAAAGCCAAAAGAGTTTTTTGGTCTCCCTTCTTCCCGCCCCTTCCTCTTGGCTTCTCGGAATGCCCTTACCGCTTTCCGGAGATGTTGGTGGTCTCTCTTGAGCGAAGATCCTCGGAGTTTAGCAGTGGAGGGAAAAGCGAGTCGGAGATACAGACTTAATCAGATACACTGAAACAGTTTTCCTCAAGCCTTACTGGAACTGGAAAGAAGCTTAAAAGAAAACTGAAGTTGGTAATGCAGGCTTCACTGGCTGGCTAGTGATCTAGTGCTGGAAGGGACCGTTTCTGTTTTGCAAGGAAAGGGTTGCTAATTTCTTGAGTTTGGCGCTTAATAAGGACGTGCCACAGTTCAATACCGTGACCCACTAGCCAGCCACGATGATATGTCCGTCTCGCCCTTGCTGTCTGCAGATGTTCGAAATTACGGTATGCATTGTGATGAAGTCATGAATTTCGGCCTCAGCGAGTTTTTGTTCACTTTGTTGCATTTATGAAGGGCTGCCAGTGCGTTCCAAAGACTTCCTTTGCACTCACGAGGGGGCAGGGGTGAGGATCTTACTTAGATTTTAATAAATCCACGGAAACCTTTATATTTCAGGGCCAGTGTGCCTCTGCTTGCAGGATTCTGAGGTGGCTGCCTCCTGCATACCTTGTTCGTAAACTTCTGAGGGTTGTCTGGCCGACCGGCCACTATTCAGAAAAATGCTGGGCTAGATGGACCTCTTAGTCTAACCAGCAAGGCAGGCAGGCAGGCCTTGTACTCTAGAAACATAATTATTTGAAAAAGTTCAGACTCCAGAGGAGGCCCATGGAAAACAGGTTCCCTGCATAGGCCCTAAGCCATTTTTGGCAGATCTTCCTCTGGTGGGTTTTCAGGTGCTGTGCCTGAAATGGCTTAATTCTGGTGATGCAAGTGGGAATCTGTCTGCTGTTTTATTGTGTCATTTGATATCCTGTGGATATCCTGTGGATAGACGCTAGGCCCACCATGCAGGGCACTTAATTCAAACAAAATAGGCTTCTTCAGGATTACTGTAGATAATTGGACATTGGCTGTGAGGCTTTTGCGAGCTATTTTGCAGATAAAGTCTTGGCGCTCCGCCGCAACCTCCCTGCCACAATTGAGACAGTGAGCGAACATGAGGCCCCTTGCACGCCTTCAGTTCCGGGTTTAGAATGTTTTAGCCCACTCAGCCTGGACAAAGTTGACAGACTGCTCATATCTGTGCGCCCAACCACATGCAACCTTGATCCGTGCCCCTCCTGGCTCATTAAAGTGGGCCAACGAGGGGTTTCAAGGTGCCCTGCGGGAGATTATCAACAAGTCCCTTTCGAAGGGACGATTCCCCGGAGCACTCAAGGAGGCGATGGTCCGCCCCCTCCTGAAAAGTCACCTTTGGACCCGACTGAATTGGCCAGCTATCGGCCGGTGTCCAATTTGCCCTATTTGGGCAAACTTATAGAGAGGGCGGTGGCGTTACAGCTACAGGGCTTTCTGGAGGATGCTTCAGTCCTAGATCCCTTCCAGTCCGGTTTTCGCCTGGGTCATGGGACGGAGACGGCATTGGTCGCCCTGACTGACAACCTCTGTAGGCAGCTGGATCGAGGTTGTGTGGCGGCATTGCTGTTGTTAGATCTGTCGGCCGCTTTTGATACGGTCGACCATCAGCTGCTGCCCCACTGCCTCGCCGACGTGGGGATTCAGGGGCTCGCCCTTCAGTGGTTTGCCTCGTTCCTGCAAGGATGCTGGGCAGCCGGTCGAACTTCGACCCAGATGACCTTCATCAGGCATTACAAGCTGTGGCTGGTTGGCTCCGACTGAGTCGGCTGAAGTTAAACCCGGCGAAGACGGAGGTCCTGGGCCTAAGTCGGGTCGGGATTGGGGCTCCCTCTCCCAGCCTTCGATGGGGCACTGTTGGTGCCAGTGTTGAGGGTTAGTAGTTTGGGAGTGCTCCAGGACTCCTCCTTATTGATGGAGGCCCAGGTGGCAGCCGCTGCCAAGTCAGCCTTTTACCATCTTCGGCTGGCGCGGCAGTTGGTTCCTTTCCTTGACCGCGAAGACTTGGCCACAGTGATCCATGCGACGGTCACCTCAAGGTTGGACTACTGTAACACTCTCTACATGGGGCTGCCTTTGTCACAAATCCGGAAGCTGCAGCTGGTGTACAATGCGGCGGCCAGGCTGTTGATGGGTCTCACTAAACGGGACCACGTCCAACCTGTGCTGAAGGCGCTGTACTGGCTGCCTATAGCGCACCGGATTCGCTTCAAAGTGCTGGTTCTTACCTATAAAGCCCTTGATGGCCAGGGTCCAGCGTACCTAAGGAACCGCCTTTCCCCATATCTTCCCCCAAGAGCACCACGGTCGGGGGTGCAGCACCTATTGGAGGTTCCAGGCCCCAAGGACATCAAGTTGGCTGCAACCAGGGCCAGGGCTTTCTCGGCGGCGGCTCCTGTCTGGGGGAACGAGCTCCCAGAGAAGATCCAGGCCCTGCGGGACCTGGCGCAGTTCCGCAGGGCCTGTAAGATGGAGCTCTTCCGCCAGGCCTTTGCATAGGAGCCGCCGCCGTCATTGTACCACCACTGAGCTGCCATCTTCGACGGTGGATTAGACCTAGAGGTGAGCCGGCCCTGGGAAGACGCCTAGATGACCGAAGAACGTATGCTGTCAGGTTAGGTTGACAAATGGAACCCATCTTGGACTAAGACTCAACATCAAGGGCACCGCACTTTATTTAATGATTGTTTTTATGCTGCTTTAACTGTTTGTAATAGCATTTGCCTCTGTTGTTAGCCGCCCTGAGCCCATTTGGGGAGGGCGGGATATAAATCCAATTAATAATAAATAAATAATAATGTGTTTAATCCACAGGGTATCAAACTACACAATAAAACAGCAGACAAACTCACACTTGCCTCACCAGAATTAAGCCATTAACAACGTTAGACATTAGGAAATAAACTGGAGGATTATTTGACAGAGCTGAAAGTACAGATTTTTGATGAGGGTTTGTTGCAGGGTCAAACACTGTTTATTTAGCAGTTCTTGCAAAATGGATTCAGCTTTGTCACACCCATTCAGAAATGCACAGAATCACATGGAATTGACATGGTATCCAAATTCATATCACCAGAACAAAATGCTGGTGGAAAGCGGGGGGTGCTACAAAGGCCCCAGGTGAAATTTTGCCTTGGCCATCAGTTAGGGCTACCAAGCCGCGGCGGGGGATCCACACGTCTTCACAGAATCCTTGCCGCGGGGGACAGCGATACGCGTTGCACTGCCATCGCCAGGATGTGACGCTACGCATCGCTCTGGCAATGTTGCCAGACACTGGGACCAGAGCTTGTAATAAACCCAGATGCCAACTTTGCTGCGGCATACACCCAGACAACACAATCACTGGACCTAACAACATCAACTCAAGCTTATTCACATGCTCATCTTCTAACATTGTTTATGCCGTTAAATATTCAGTTCTCTGCATAGGGGAAACAGGTCCAACCCTACGCCAAAGGATAAATGGACACAAATCTGACATCAAGAATCACAAGGCTGAGAAACCTGTAGGAGAGCACGTCAACCTTCCAGGACATTCAATGGGTGACCTCAGAGTAGCTGTTTTATTGCAAAGGAACTTCAGGAACAGACTAGAAAGGGAAATTGCTGAGTTGTGAGTCATTACAACACTCTGAACAATGAAATCCCCAGGACTTAACAGGGATATTGGTTTCTTGTATCACTACATATGGCTTTACACTTGTATTCTCACCAGTCCCCCAGAAGGACCATACATCATCTTTATTTTATTCTATTTCTTATTTGGAATAATAGAATAGTGGGGAATGATAGATTGGAATGTATTTCTCTGGTCTGGGGACAGGGGACATAACTCTACACAGTCAATCACCCCACTTCAAAGATGCTGTAAGGTCGCCTGGATTCTTGAGAGGAGACAGACGGAGTGTCATGGCAGGGTCTCAGTTAATTGCTCTCAGCATCTGCCCATCAGTCTCCGAGTTAAACACAAACAGATGGTAACCATATAAACTAAGCTTGTTGTTCCTGTTTGGTCCTTGAATCTGTTAAACATCTTCATTATGCTGTACACTAATTTACTGCTCACCCTCTACCTATATGGATGGACTGGTGATTTCCATTTCATTGTATCTAAAGAAGTGTGCGTGCACATGAAAGCTTCTACCTTGAATAAAACTCTGTTGGTCTTAAAGGTCCCACTGGACTCAAACTTTGTATTGAGGAACTGTATGTTAAACTTTCTTGAAGTACTATTTATTGTATTATAAAGTGCTATTTATATGTTGAGTATTATTTGTTCTTAGTAAATATATTTAGGTCTAAGCTATTGGAACGGTTTCAAGCAGCTCAATTGTTTGGGCAGGAATTTGTTCCTTACATACAAAAGCATTTAGATCCATACCATTTTGTTCATCTCCCAGTCTGACTTTTCTTTCTTCTCAACCCCAGTGGATGGAGTGGCATCCTCAGGCCCACATCCTCCTAGCTGGCACAGCTGATGGCAACTCTTGGATGTGGAAGATCCCTGGCGGAGACTGCAAGACATTTCAAGGGCCAAACTGTCCAGCCACTTGTGGGCATGTCCTCCCTGACGGTCAGGAATGGGGCCTGGGATGTGGAAATTGGCTTGCAGAATTGGTGCTGGGGTGGAAATGCCTGATGAGGTCAAGAAGGCTCCCACTCTCCTGGCTTTCTAAAAGCGATGCAAACCTGAGTTTTCTGGAGGGCTTTTCTACACGGGGGATGGAGTTGCACTGTATAGAATCATTTGGAAAGCTACTGTCAGGCTCCTCAGTCAGGTCACACCACACAGGGCTTCATAAGAAGTTAACTTCTTATGTTTATTAGTGGTTCCAGTACCAAAGAACATGTGTACAGCTTGTGTCAGGAATAGCCCAGAATGGATAAGTAAGGGGCTTGAGCAGCCCCCCCCCCTTGTAAGCATAAGCCAATGGTTATAGTCCGTGCACGTGGGCAAAAGCAAGCAGGCAAAGCTTAACTTTCCCAGCCGAGTAATTGCAGCTGGAGACTACAAGGTCAAGCATGAGATAGCGCCCAGTAGCTGGACAGGGAAGAGCTGAGAACGAGGAGAAGGAGTGCACCCCTCCACATTCTAGATCTATGACAGGGCTACCTGACAGCTACTTGGGTAAAGGTTCAGGAACTGTGATCTGTACTAATGTGTATAACTCATACTGCCTGTTGCTGTCCGTAGGGTTCCACTGTGTCATTTGTTTAATGCATCATGTTAATACCTGTGTTTTGCTTCAGTTCTGTTTTCAGATGGCTGGTTCCAAGTTTCTACAATAGAAATCTTATTGTATTGTTGATTAGGTGTCCTGTCCTGTGGGTCATATTGACTTAACTCTGTGTGATCCACCTTGAGTCCCAGTGAGAAAGGTGGACTATCAATAACATACGTAAATAAAATGCTTAGTGGGAGGAGTGCTGTGAGACTTTGTCCTTCCAAGTACACCCTTGGTTTTCCTGTGCTGTGAGGGATGGCAAGGTATTGTTTAAGAGTAGGGGTGTGCAAAAAAAGAACTTCGGTATTTTTTGGGTTGGGTATATTGAACTGGGAGAATATCAATATTTCCTGATATTCCCAAATCCCATTACTGGTATGATACTTGGATCCTGTAAATATTCGGGATTCCTGAATTTTTTTGGCTCCATTGTACCCTATAGGGACTGTTATAGTCAATGGTCCCCATAGGATATAATGGAGAATCGATCCGGGGGGCACTGTGGGGTTGTTTTTTGAGGTAGAGGCACCAAATTTGTAGCATAGCTGCTGGTGCCTCGCCTAAAAACAACACACAACACCCCAAGTTTCAAAAAGATTGGACCAGGGTGTCAAATTCTATGAGCCCCAAAAGAAGGTGCCCCCATCCACCATTATTTACATTGGAGGGGGGAAAGGGCATTTAAAGGGAACACAGTTCTTTTAAATGCCTTTTGTAAGCAGTGCTGTGAGTGAACTCTGAAGCGGTGAGTTCACCCAGAAGATGTTTAAAGGGAAGGCAGTCCCTTTAAACACCAGCTATTCGGCAGCCCTGAAAAATCCTGAGTATTTTCGTGGTTTTTTGGACTCGGTCATTTCAGATAGCTTTAGACAATTCCGAGCTTTATGTTCGGTTGAAAAAAATACCTGAAAAATTCCAATAATGTATTTTCTAGGTGTTTTTTTTTGGGGGGGGGCTTGGTATTGTCGAATGGGAGCTGCGGTGACTCAAGTGGTTAAGACGCTGAACTGCAGGCTGTGGAAGGTCAGTAGTACAGCAGTTCGAGACCCGAGTTGCCGTCTCTGGTTCCAGCTCCTGCCAACCTAGCAGTTCGAAAGCAAGAAATTGCAAGTAGATAATTAGGTACCACTTTGGTGGGAAGGTAACAGCGTTCCGTGCGCCTTGGTGTTTAGTCGTGCCGGCCACATGACCACGGAAACGTTTTCGGACAGCGCTGGCTCTTCGGCTTTGAAACGGAGATGAGCACCGCAACCCTAGAGTCGGACACGACTGGCTTTCCAGCAAGGGAACCTTTACCTTTATTGTTGAATGAACACCCCTATTTAAGAGCTGAGAAGGGCTTTGGGAAAGAAGGCTCCGAGTCCTCTTAGAGCTACTAACGCAAAGATGTTCGCTGCAGGGAAGAGAGCTGTGGTTGGTTACGAAGATGGGACTGTGCGCTTCTGGGATCTGAAGCAAGGCAGCTCGCTGCATGTCTTAAAAGGTACCAAAAGTTTCACTCCCTGTCCTTGCCTGTTTCCATTTACTGTCAAAAAATCAGAAGCGATACCTCGTTGCAGAGCAGGATGGCTTTCAGCCCACTGTCATAGCTCTTGTGTCAGAGAAAATGATAAAGGCAGGAAGCAGCCTCTTTCTAGGCATGTGGGCGGGTCCCAAGCCATGCTCCCTCTAAGCCGTGGAGACTTGTGAGCAAAAATTCTACTTTGTGAGCTACTGGCATTAAAGTGGACAGCGAGCCATTTGGCTGCGGCATCAGTTAGTTTGCTCTGGAGCCGTCCTTCCTGAGCGAAGGCAAAAATCTGTGAGCTGGAGGCTAAAAAACTGTGCTAGGTCACACTAACGCAGCTGAGAGGGAACACTGGTTCCAAGGAATGAAGGGAAACCTGAGGATAGCTTATCAGGTCAGCCCTGGTAAAGCGATGCCTCACTTGTCAGCTTACGCAGGACTTCTCCTCTGTGCTGCTTAGCATGTCGGTTTCCTCTTCTTGTGGCTGAGGAGCCTCAGCTGGGAATGTGCAGAAGGGTACAGGAGAGCTTCTATAGGCATTGGGGCACTCCTGCCCAAGGATAACAGGGTATTCCGGGTCAAGGTGCTGGGAGAGCTAGAGGGTGAATGGAGGGCGTGGGCTGAAGCCCTTTGCCGAGTTCTGCACTTGTTTAGGTATGTTCCTTAGTGATGTGACCTCTGCTTTTTACCAAATTCGGCCAGGTCAAGATGGGCACCAGGGCCCTTTGACTTGTGTGGCCAGCAATAAGGATGGCAGCCTCGTCCTGATGGGCTCTGTCGACTGCCATGCCAAGTTAGTGAACTCTGCGACTGGCAAGGTTAGTGCCTCCTTTTTCTCCTCGCTGGGATGAACAAATCTTTTCACCTGGAAAGGGGGGGGGGAACTCTCCTTATTCTTTCCAGTGAACAGCCTGCATTGCCTGTCAAGCTGATAGTTTTGTTGGCTGCTGGCTTTTCTGGTCTTGTGGACTGTTCTTTTTTGGAAAATAGCATTGGCTTGGCAGCAGAAAGCCTCACAACACAAGTCAAACCACTATGAACTGTTGCTTCTAGAAAAGGAGATCTTTTTTCCCCTACCCGCATCTTTTCCAGCTGGATTTCTTTTCCAGCTTTGATCTGCACGTAGTTGGGACCATGTTAGATCATAAATGTGGTGGTTGTGTTACTCTTCCAGTATCTGCTCTGGGCATGGCATTTTTGGCTGACCTCTCTGTTTTTAAACCTTTTCTTTAAAGCCCCTTGGGAGAACAGATTTCACGGCCAGTATATCTAGAGCTTCAATAAAGAAAGGGTTAGATCCAGGCTTCTCACCCGTCGTTTGAAATGCTTCCACTCCCAATAGGAATCTGTGAAACTTCCATGGATTTCCCCTTCCAGCTGTAGTCTTCCCGTGCCTCATCTTGCGCTATTCCCAAGAGTCCCCTCACCTTTCATGGCTTTGAGGGAGGTAAAGGGGCGTGAGGCTGTGGCAGGAAGAGCTCTGCTCGTTGTTCTTAGGATCCAACCCAATAAATGGATCCTGTTCTACCAAGCTTAGGAGCTGCAGTGGCTCAAGTGGTTAAGATGCTGAACTGCAGGCTGGAAGGTCGGTAGTTCAGCATTTCGAGACCCGAGTGCCGCATGATGGAATGAGCTCCTGTCTCTGGTCCCAGCTCCTGCCAACCTAGTAGTTCAAAAGCAAGAAATCGCAAGTAGAGAAATAGGTACCGCTTCAGTGGGAAGGTAACACCGTTCCGTGCACCTCGGCATCTAGTCATGCCGGCCACATGACCACGGAGAAGTCTTCGAACAGCGCTGGCTCTTCGGCTTGGAAGCGGAGATGAGCACCACAACCCTAGAGTCGGATTTGACTGGCTTCTAAGCAAGGGAAACCTTTACCTCTACCAAGCTTACAAAGCTGAAACAACCCAGTTCCTACACTTAATCGGTTTTTAAAGCTCATCTCTTTAAAACTGGAACACTGAGCAGTTGTTTTGTCATCTGTCTGTCTGGTATATTTTTTATCCCACCCTTCCTACAAGGGGGGGATTGGTGTCGTGGTTAAGTGCGCGGACTCTAATCTGGGAGAACCGGGTTTGATTCCCCACTCCTCCACTTGCACCTGGCTGGATGGCCTTGGGCAAGCTGTAGCTCTGATAAGAGCTGTTCTTGAAAAAGGGCAGTTTCTGTCAAGAGCTCTCTCGGCCCCACCGACCTCACAGGGTGTCTGTTGTGGGGAGGGGAAGGGAAAGGAGTTTGTAAGCCGCTCTGAGACACCTTTGGGTAGTGAAGGGTGAGGTATAAATCCAATCTCCTCCTCCTCCTCTTCTTTTTCCTCTTCTTCTTCCGCCTCTTCTTCTTCCTCTTCCTCTTCTTCTACCTCCTCTTCTTCTTCTTCCTCCTCCTCCTCCTCCTCATGGTGGCATATGTGGTTCTCCCTTCCCGATTATATCCTAAAGAGAAACCTGTGAGGGAGGTTAGGCTGAGAGTGTGTGTGGCTGGTTTGAAGCTACATCGTCCAAGTCCTAGTCTACCCCACTGGCTGTTCATTAATGCTGTCCTAGATGGTAATGCAGTACATTCACATAATATACGTTGGATTCCTATTATTTGAAAAGTGACACCCGCCACATGGGACCAGTAGACTTGGGCATAAGAACACCCTCGCGAGAGGAGAGTTCGATTTTTGTCTTTGCACTTGGCGAGCATTCCCTCCAGAGTGCCTTTGACAGTGTGCTGATGCTTTTGATGCTGACACTGGCTCTTTCGCTGCTGCAGGTTGTCTTTGTGTTCAGAGCAGAGAGCGTTGTCCCCAAGCCTTCAGCAAGTGAATCTGAGGAAGCTGAATCCAACTCAGTTGAGTCCCTGGGCTTCTGCAACGTGTGAGCATTGGGCGTGGGGGGAGGTCTCTTTGTGGCCTTCATAAAGGTGGCCGACTTTGGGACTTGTGGGCCTGGTAAGGGGCAGCCGAGTGCCGTACTGGGCAACTTCTTTGGCAAGGAGGCGAGACTGTTGCTCTGGCCAGACGGCTTAGTGCACTTGGCGTATCCACTCAGAGCTCTTTCCCCTTTCTGCACTTGTTGCTTTGGAAATAACCCAGAGCTGCTGAAAGAAGAAAAAGCTAGCCATCCCCTATCTGGGTTATGTCTGTTATGGTGCTGAAAGAATCTTTTCTTGTGGTAACTGCCGCCTGGCCACTTTTCTGACTGAAGGGGGCTGGTGTGCCCTCAGCACCTGCCCTTTTGTAATTGAGGAGGCCCTAACTCTGTCGGGAGGGGGTGACATGACAGATAGTCGGTTGTCCTCCCCTCCGTTGAGATATTCACCAAGTCCTGCAAAGATATTATAGTATCCAGAGCAACAGGATCATCTAATCCAGAGGGAGGAAGGGCCCAGAATGCACATTAACCTGGGACATGAGTCAGTTCATGGGTGCCATAGCAACTCTTCAGCTCCACATTCACTCTCTACTGCTCTGCACAGCTACATATGCTGTGAGGAGGAAGTTGGGGCTTCATGCTCTCTTCCTGCACATTTCCTGCACAAACTGGGAGCCAGTTTGGTGTCGTGGTTAAGTGCGCAGACTCTAATCTGGGAGAACCGGGGTTGATTCCCCACTCCTCCACTTGCACCTGGCTGGATGGCCTTGGGCAAGCCGTAGTTCTGATAAGGGCTGTTCTTGAAAAAGAGCAGTTTCTGTCAAGAGCTCTCTCAGCCCCACCTACTACCTCACAGGGTGTCTGTTGTGGGGAGGGGAAGGGGAAAGGAGTTTGTAAGCCGCTCTGAGACCCCTTTGGGTAGTGAAGGGCGGGGTATAAATCCAATCTCTTCTTCTTCTCATGGGCCTGTCCTCTCCCCTCACAGTGTTTGGGGCCACACAGAACAACTGAGAGGTTTTGAAAGGTTACTTCCTGTGGAAATGTCTGAGAGACAGGTCAGGTACCTGTGACCTAAACACATTAGTATTTTGACTCTAGGAGGGAGGATGTTAAGGGGGAAAGGCTGAAAGTCTACTGCTTATTCCAAGCATTGTTTTTCTTCAGATATAGTCTGGCCACTGAGATCAATTGTAAACAGAGTTTGTTATATTTGATTAGGGCTACTGAAAATAAGGGGTTGTAATCAGTACCGAGTTGTTCTTAAGAGAAACAAACATTGTGTTGCTTTCCTGCCGAGAATTTGGGTCTAGTGGAGTTAAAGGTGTCTTAAAAGTAAAGCTAGTTAAGACTAACGAAAGGGTGCTTGTGTTCTATGGAGTGTTTATTCGCTGATGTTGTTTCTTTACCATTTAGCCTCTGCTTTTTGAAATAAACACATTAATCCTTTTACAGAATTAACAAACTCAGGCATTTTGTTCTTTTTATAATCCTATCTCTCATGTGTCAGATATGATAAGCTAACATCCATGTAACCATAATACCTGAGGGGAAACCAGGTGGAACATGGTGAAGACATTGAGCGAACAAGAGAAACCTGGTGCAAGTGAGGTCCTCATTAAGGGTTAAAACCAACTCCCTCAGCCCGGGCCAGCTGTTTCTCCATAGGACAGGCACTGGCAGTGTTCCCCCTAAGCTGAGTTAGTGTGAGCAAGCTCACAGTTTTTTAGCCTCCGGCTCACAGATTTTTGTCTTAGCTCAGGAAGGATGGCTCCAGAGCAAACTAATTTATGCAGTAGCCAAATCACTTGCTCAGAACTTTAATGCCCGTAGCTCACAAAGTAGAATTTTTGCTCACAGGAGTCCACGGCTTAGGGGGAACATTGGTCACTGGCATAGTGACTTTAGGATGCCAGACTAGGACCAGAGAGACCAAGGTTCAGATCCCCACTGGACTTTGCAGGTCACTGCAGAACCTTGGACCAACCATTCTCTCTCTGCCAAACCTACTTCACAGGGTCGTGAAAGTAAAACAGAGGACAAGAGAGCTCTGTATGCCACTTTGACCTCCTTGGCAGAAGGGCAGGATAAAAATGGGATAGGTGGAATGTAATGCATCATCCATGGGATGTACTAAAACAATTCTCCCACTCTTTCTGTTGTAGAATGCCATTGGCAGCTGTTGGCTACTTGGATGGGACCTTGGCTATTTATGACCTCACCACTCAGACCCTGAGGCACAAGTGTCAACATGAGGTAATGGAGAAGATCCTTAGAGCAACCACCAGGGGGCACTGTGTTATCTGAGAGAAGCCTGGCAGTTAAAGAGTGGTGCTGTTCTCAGTAGCTGTCATGCCACACCGTTGCCTTGTAGCTCTGCTGCTTACATTGAGCCTTAAATGGGTACACAGTGGGGGCTGTAAATGCTGCCAGGCAGGCACTTCAGAACCTGTTCCAGAGCAGTCATGTCAAGAAAGAAACTGGTAGATACCTGTCCGTGTATTTCTAATTCTTACTGATTGAATTGTTCTTATTTCTGTGGCTCTAGTGTTAGGGGTGGGAAAAGACAAAGGAGTTTTGGCTTTTGCAACTGCCCTGAGCTATATGCAGATCTTTCCCTCTGGGCCCCATTCACTGTCTTCCCCATAGAACCATGTCTTGGCCCGTTTGCCTTGTCAAAGAGCAAATGGTGTTGTTTTTGGTGGTGGTGGTGGTGGGGAACGGGCACCATTCCATTCGTAGCCTTTCCTCTGAGAGTTTCCTGTTTCCTGTGCTGTGCAAACTCGATAGTGAATGCTACAGTGGGACAGGTCAGGCTTGGTGTTCAGCCAAGGGTTTAAAACAACCAATCTATAGACTGTGGAAACATGGCTGAAGGACGCTATCTAATAATCCTCAGAGGGGACCGTATGCTAAGATCTGGCTCCACCCTGCGTGGATGGGGGTGCAGATGTTGCCAGTTCTGTTTCCCTCTGTATCTGCAGTCAGGGATTGTGCAGCTCCTGTGGGAAGAGAACTCTCCTGTGGTCTACACCTGCAGCCTGGATGGTGCCGTGTATCTCTGGGACGCGCGTTCCGGCAAGCTGATCAGCGAGTATCGTGGCCACTCCGCTGAAATTCTGGACTTTGCTTTGAACAAGTGAGTGCCTGGAGCAAGAAATAAGTTTGGGGGGGGGAGATTCGGGGGGGGGGGTTGTCTCCTTTGCAGGGGCTGCTGGCGGGAAAGAATTCTGGAATAAGCAGACAAGATCGGCGTGGTATGAGGAGCTCATGCGATGACTGGGTCAGGAGCAGTGCTCCCTCTAAGCTGTGGAGTCTTGTGAGCAAAAATCCTACGTTGTGAGCCACTGGCATTAAAGCCGTGAGCGAGCGATTTGGCTACTGCATCAGTTAGTTTGCTCTGGAGCCGTCCTTCCTGAGCGAAGGCAAAAATGTGTGAGCTGGAGGCAACAAAACTGTGAGCTAGCTCACACGAACTCAGCTTAGAGGGAACATTGGTCAGGAGGGGAATGTTGCCCCCTTCTGTCTCCTCCATGGAGTCACAACCCAGGTGGCTCATAGCTCATGCAGGTCCCGTGCTGGGAGTGCTACTGACAGACTGTGGGATCTGACCTATGAAACGGAAAGGTTTTATAGTTCCACCCTGGGCATTAACTCCTGTCTAAGCCCACTGAAATCAGTGCACTGAAGACTAGTTTAACTCTGCGGAGGATTGCATCCTTAGTATTTCTCCGGCAACCCCCCCCCCCCCAATGAGGAGTTGTAAAAGACAGAGAGAGACTTTAGACAGTGATACTTGATACTCTTAATTAGGAGCAGGCCCCTTGAAATCAGTTGGGGACTTGCTTCTGAACAAACATAGGTAGGACTGAGCGGCAAAAGAGCTTTGGCCATGATGAATCACCATCCTGAGTTTGGTGTCGTGGTTAAGTGCGCAGACTCTAATCTGGGAGAACCGGGTTTGATTCCCCACTCCTCCACTTGCAGCTGCTGGATGACCTTGGGCAAGCCATAGTTCTGACAAGAGCTGTTCTTGAAAAAGGGCAGTTTCTGTCAGAGCTCTCTCAGCCCCACCCGCCTCACAGGGTGTCTGTTGTGGGGAGGGGGAGGGAAAGGAGTGTGTCAGCAGCTCTGAGACTCCTTTGGGTAGTGAAGGGCGGGGTATAAATCCAATCTCTTCTTCTTCTTCTCCTTAACCCTCCCCTCCCCCTGTTTTCTTACCTTTGCAGAGACGCTTCCATTGTGGTCACCACTTCTGGGGATCACCAAGCCAAGGTGTTTTGTGTACAGCGCCCCGACCGCTAACAGTGCCTCAGTCGGGCCACGGTTGGCACTGTGAAGGAACAGGCCTGTGTGGATGCTGGCAGCTACACCCCTGGGGCTGTGGTGGGGTGGGCGGGTTGGTTCTTTTGAGAAGAAAGCTTTGCCACCCTGTTCCCTGATGGTTCCAGGCCCTTCTGGGATTTTGTACTTCTTAAAATATATAAGTTATTCTGCAGGCCTGGAGCGTTGTGCAGCCACAAAGCACCAAGGGCACATGATGTCTGATATAGGGCCGGATCACTTAGCTCCATTCAATGGGACAGTTGTGGGGAAGGTGTGTGGCCACGCCAAATAGACAGACACACACAAATCTTTTCCGGGTTCAGCTCCGTGTGTTTAACAGGACTCAGAGTCCTGGTAACTGGAGGGATTGCCTCCCATGCTTCAACTCATACACTGTGTCTGGTAGATGGCTTTGCAGCCACTGAAATTGGGGGGGGGGGATGTCCTCCCCTTGTTAAAAAAAACCCTTTGCCTTGAGCATTGGTACCTGAAAATCATGTGATGGGGAGGAAAAGATCCCATTTGTGCCCAGGTCGTGGTGTATTATCCTAGGAAAATTGGTTAAGGGTGGTTGAATACATCAGCCAGGGTTGGGCATTAGATCAGCCCCCCCCCCCCCCCCCCGCCCCCAATACTTGATCAAATAAATAATTCTTTCCTGGGCTGTTCGATGACACCATAATGCAATAAAAAGCTAACAATTTCACAGGGGTGTTTGGAAACTGTTTGTCTCCTGCTTCGTAAGCTTGCTGCTAAGAGAAAATGGAAGTGGGCACATAGCACAAAGGAAGTAGCCCCCCTCTCCCTCTCTCTCCCCCCCCTCTAGCTTCCGGTATGCCGTACTTAATGGTGTTGGTTTTACTGCAATAGGAAGCCTTACCTTTCTACTAGAATAGCAAAATGCTACCCTAGATCTTCCAATATTTGTTGGAGATGTAAAAGAAATGTAGGATCTTATCTTCACATATGGTGGAAATGTGATACAATTCACGTTTTTTGGGGGGGAAATTCATAAGATTTTTCTAGATATTTTAAAAGTCAATATTCCATTAACACCTGAAGCCTATTTACTTAACATATTACCAGACAATATAAAGGATCTTACTTATATAAGTGTATACATATTAACAGCGACTAGAATACTTATTGCGAAACGATGGAAATCTAAGGTCATCCCTACAATAAAGGAACTTAAATGTAAGATATTGGAAGTTGCAGAAATGGATAAGTTAAATATAACGCTACAAAACAAACCAGAGGAGATATTTTGAAAGAGATAGAAAATAATATATGATTGGCTAAAGATAAAGAAGATGGATTAGACTCGAAAATATGGAAAGTTATACTGTTATATTATGTATAAGAAGGAGAAATGAATTTTATATAAAATAATGTATAACAATGTTGGCAAATATATACATTCGATTGAAAATGAAATAAATTTATATTTAAAAAAGGGAAGCCTTACCCTTTGGGCAGCCCAAAACATGGGTATCGCGGCAGCTATTCTATACAGCCTGTTCTGGGTAGTATTTTATACCATAATGGGCCTGGGTGGTTATGAAGCAGCTCCCCTCTTCGTTTTCTCTTCCTCTTGCGATGACTTTCTTCCTCACTGCTAACTGGAAGAAATCACAAGAAGCTTCTTGGGGGCTAGGAGAGCTGCAGTCATTTGACAGAAGGCAATACGGGTGCTGTGCCAGTTTGCTTTCTCAGGACAGTTCCTTCTGGAGGCAAAGCACAGACGCAACCCCTCTTGTACATGACAAATGTGTCTACTGACACAGGCAGAACTCTCATAGAACCTATAGAAAGCAACGCTGTGCTTGAGGGCCCGGCCTTGCAGTCTCCCTTCCTCAGCTCCTGGCTCGCAGTGGTCACCTCCCGCCTCCCAGCCAATGGCACGCCAGCAGCCTTGAGCAGCAGCTGGTGAGCCAGTGGCTGATGGTGCGCATTTTTTCTCCGTTCCCTTACTCAATTATATATAAGGAGAGATATTTAGGACTAGGAAAAAGGTCCGTTGGGGAAATAAATACAACGGTCTCTAGAAAGAGGCTCTGGGCGGGTGCCCCGGCCTTGAACACTCAGTGTCAATTTGCTGTGGCGACCTCAGCAGGGTATAATGATACTGAGTCCACCATTTTCTCCAGAGGAACTGATCTCTGCTATCTAAAGAACAGTTGTAATTTTGAGTGATCTCCAGCCCTCACCTGGAGATTGACAACGATGGTTCCCCAGAAGGGAAGAGTTGGTTTGGAGGGTGGAGTCTATGGCTTTGTACCTGTCCGAGGTCCCACGCCTCCTGAAACCTCACCCTCTCCAGGCTCCATCCCTCACATCTCCAGGAATTTCCCACCTGGAGTTGGCAACCCTATCTCCTTCCCAGCCAGTCATTAACCTACCTTTATTTCCCCCTCACTCTTCAGCTTTCCACCCCCCACACACCTGCAGCCTCTCCCGTGCTCTGAAACCCTGACTTCTACGTCACATTGGCTGTCATACGGGGGCCACCTCAGCAGCTTATAAGGATACAGAGCCCACCATTTTCTCCAGGGGAACTGATCTCTGCCATCTGGAAAGCAGTTGTAATTCTGAGTGATCTCCAGCCCTCACCTCTCGGAGATTGGACACATTTTACCTCACAACAGCAAATCTGTTTAGAATGTTAGAGGCAAAAACCAATCAAGTCGCATATGCAAACGACCTCTGTGTTCCGAGGCAGTATTTCTGGTCCCGCTGTGAAGCCTCGCAAGGGGTCGCCGCCAGTGTTCCCTCTAGGCTGAGTTAACGTGAGCTAGCTCACAGTTTTTTAGCCTCCGGCTCACAGATTTTTGCCTTAGCTCAGGAAGGATGGTTCCAGAGCAAACTCATTGATGCAGTAGCCAAATCACTTGCTCAGAACTTTAATGCCAGGAGCTCACAAAGTAGAATTTTTGCTCACAAGACTCCATAGCTTAGAGGGAACATTGGGCCGCTCGATTGTTGCTGTACCCCTCCATAGGCAGGAGGGTCCCCACCGGGTCCTCCTGACATGAATGTTGTCAGAAGGCGTGCAGCTAGCAGGTGATACACAGAGATGGTGGGAGGCAGAAGTTCTGAAGAGTTAGGTAGCTGTCCCAAAGGCCTTTCCATAGTCTCTTACCAAATGAACTTTAGCGATCTTAAGTTCACGCACGAGCCCTTTTTGGCAAACCTCAGAGCACATACAATACATAAATCATACAACTGTGATAAAGAATCATTCACAATTTTTTATCTCAAGATGTTTCTGAAGTGATTATTACAGGAAATAATACAATAATACAATAGCTCCGGATTGGTGCTGCCGTTTCGACAATATGTCTTCTTCAAGCAACAAAAAGCTGCATACTCATGAGTCAAAGGGCTTTGACTTCAGCCCTTTTGGGATCACTTTTTTCTAGAATTAGAGATGTTGCTTCTCAAGGTATAAGAGGTAGAAAACTCATGAGTATGCAGCTTTTTGTTGCTTGAGGAACTCCATACTTCATGTTGACTGGCACAATTTCTGGTCAGAGGAAGACATATTGTCGAAACGGCAGCACCAATCCGGAGCTATTGTATTATTGTATTATTTCCTGTAATAATCACTTCAGAAATTAATATTTTGTACAACGTCTTGAGATAAAAAATTGTGAATGCTTCTTTATCACAGTTGTATGATTTATGTATTGTAAGTTCTCTGGACGGTGACCATCTTATTGTTTGCAACCTCAGAGCACAGACAGGTGAACTTCTCTGTTGCTTTCACTGCTGTAATAAATGCAGAGATGTTCATAGTGGCAATGGAGCATCCACATGTTTTTCCCCTCACATTTTCCTTGCCTCAGTGTCCTGTAGACACCTACCCCTCCGATACCTGAGGGCTTTTCCTAAGGCTTTTAGTTTTGTTTTGTTTTTAAAGTCTGAAATTACTATGTTGTGACAGTGTTAGAGTGATCGTTCCCCATGATCCACCAGTTCCCACCAGCTTCCATTAAAAAAACCCCAAAAGGTAAGGTGGGCTGCACATTTCCCCCTGCGACTTGGCAACAAGAAGAGATAGAGACGAACGTCTAAACATTAAAGCTGAGAACTGGTAGATGATCATTCAAAACAAAAAAGCCCTCCAAAACGGGGAGGGTATGGTAGTGTTGGATCCCCAAGCATCAAGAATAAATCCACGTTTTGAAGAAAAGCAAAATTTATTTCAAAGCTTTGGAAAGACACTCAAACACGTTCTTTGTTAGAACTGACTACAAACGGTTAGGGCAAACAAGATAAAGGGATTTGAACCAGGTACAGGACCAATGGGTCACTTTCCCGCTGGCGGGTGAAAGGAAACGGTTGCGCGCTCATTCCCTGAGAACCAAGCTATCTCCAGACATAATACAGGTGCAGTTCCCAGGCTCTAAAAGCAACAAGCTGGCAGTTAAGCGTACTCCCCCAATACATCCTCCAGTTGTTTGGCTTAGGCATTACAGCAGAGTAAAATACAGGCGCACAGGCGGGGGGGGGTTAGCAACTGTACAGAGATACAACTAACACAGAACACCATGGCAGCTCGCTGACAGGTAGCCACTTAGGGTGCCGAGGCAAGGAAAATGGCACCTGTGTGGGCAAGACCTGCCCCCCCTCCCCAAATTGCATACCCTCCCATCTCTGCAGCATCCAAAAATGTTTCCAACAAGATCCTATCAAACCAGGTTTGGGGATGATCACAGCCATGGCAGAGCAAGACAGCTGTGTTGAAACAGTCATTTGGATCAGGTTCTTTTTTTCGTAAAAAGTAAAAAAATCTTACTTCGGTGTTGAATGAAACACACCTTGACTACTGCTTACCTGCCCCGTGTGCCTCTGCTCAAAAGATCTCCAGGCATTTCTCGCACATTCTCTTATGGGGTTCTCTCCCTTTTGGTTTAGTGATAATGTTGTTGCAGCACCTGTTGGGAGAAGGGGCCCTGTCATTCAAGGATGCTTTCTTGGCCTCATGAATGGCACAAGTGCTCATGCCGTGTAATACTCTAGGAGAGCTATGTGATCAGGACCGGTACGCGGCCATGCCTTCCGTCACTGGCACCTGGCGATCAGAGCTTTGACTCTCGGAAGCTTCCACCCTGGAAATCATGTAGGTCTTTTAAGGTGTGCCGGGACTCAAATCTTCCTCTTCCACTGCAGGCCATCATAGCTACCAACCTGAAACTATATTTTGTGACTCTGCCGCTTCAAAATGTCAGGTCCGTATCTACTTTCAGACACAATTATCGTACCTACTAGAACGACACTGATCATTTATTTGTTGAACCCACTGTTTCTGATCTCTCAGAACTTGAACCCTTAGAATCTATACACTAAAATCTTATGGAACTGTGGGTTGGATTCTTCCAACGTTCAGTTGTAAAGATAATCACACACCCCCAATACCCCAAAGATATGAAAACCAGCACAATCAAACCCCCCCAGATTGGATCTCTAAAGGCAGTTTGATTGCAGTGCTGCAAAAATAATGTAAAGGTCTAACAGCAGCCCTGCTGCTTTTCCTCCTGCTTTTTTGGCCTCTACTTTATCTGACAAGGAGGCTGAAGTTGGTTCCTTATTTGCACTTCCTTATTCAACTGGCA